GATTTTGAGTGGAATGAATAAATCTGCAATACAAATCTCTCTTAAAGTCCATCTGGGTTTGCTGAGTACAAATTGTCTCACCAGTCTTGACCATCCCTGTTTGAGCGGACACCACACTCAGCCACGGATTAAGGAGCTCAGAAAGTCAAAAAGAAGTGGATATCCATCTACAATCTGTCTGTTGGGTGCAAAGAAATGATCAAAAAGCAAAACTATCAGGGTGTAGCCATTAAGAATGAATCACAGGGCACACCATCCCCACAAAAAATTGCCTCAATAAAACAGTAAGCACCACCGTCAGAGAGCTAGCATAGTTTGGGAAAGTAATTTTTGCCCAGTCTCACAGACAACTCAGTCCTAATTTCCAGTATGCAAAATCCTCAGCTGTAACTCACACAAACATGGCAAAACCTCACTCTGCACATCATCCTATAGATCATTAAGCACATCGTGTACCCCTATGGAATAACACAGTTTTGCTTCACTCATCATCTATGATTTCCTAAATATTATTAATTAATATTATTTTTTAAGAAAAGAAAATTTAAGTCTCACTGTTTTTTCCATCTGCGTGCTATGCATTGTGTGACCCATGAACTCCAAGACATTGTTTAGAATCAGATATTTCATTAGAAAGCACTACTGTGGTGTTCATTCCCCTTTTATTACTTCTAGAAAGAGAATATGAAATTAGTTTCATTGGACTGCCATCGCCACTTGCCTTGACCCATTTTTATGAGGGCTCCATGTTCTGCTCTTTTGTATTTCATTGTCATTTCTAAAATACTTGTTTCCTTCCATCTTTCACAAAATGACAAAATTAGTATTTAATTTACTTCTGTGGTATGTTATTTTCTGCATATTTAAAGAGAGACCACAATGTTTGCAGTGAACTCCAATACAAAAGAGCTTTCCTAGAGCTTTCTACTGTGCCTTCTTTTATTTACTAATGTTCCCCTATGATTTATGATCTGAACTATTATAAATTGCCAGATTTGTCTAAATCAAAGCTTCTGACAAAAAAAAAGGGTGGGTGAAGGGATGTTATTTTAAAAAAGTGACAAAAGTAACAGTGTATCAGAAAGCAACATTTGATTGATCTTAAAACAATATGTAGCTACCAGCTTCAGCAGACCTATCTGTCAACTCATGCAGGAAATGCAAGGTGAGGTTTCCCTGTTCTCTGAAAAGTAGGTACTTTGCTGCAGTGGTGGCTCATTACTCCAAAGAACTGGCTTATACACCCCGACACTCCAGAGACAACTGTCTGATTCATACTCTTCCCAACGGAGTCAGGTTTCTCTGCCCCAGCAATTAACAATGAATTAGCACTACATTAAAGTGCCAGGCAAGATGGTTACTCTCTGGAGTGGTCACCTTGGACACAGCAGACGAATAGTGGGAGAAGGAGAGAAAATAGATTTACTGTGTCCCAGCATGTCTGTAACAAACACGGAATCCCTGGTTGGCAACGGGAAGCAGCTGTAGGCACTTGTCAGCATTAACACCCCAGAAAGGTCCAATGCCAGCAAACAGCCCAGGATTGGTGGGATTTAGCAAGGGATAGAAAGTAAGACAGGGTACCCTCACCTCCGCAGAGCAGGGAGCTAAACACAGAAGCAGAGGACTGCTTGCTGCAAAGAGAGTACTTTGCACACAGTTATAAGCCAGGCCAAGCCAGATCAAAGGTCCAGCCAGGATCCCACACCTGGTGGTGAGGGAAGAGGATAAGAACAGGGCAAAAATACAGTAATGCTTTCCAGCGTGCCCTCCCACTCTCCAGGAAATTGTGGCTCAGGCACTCCATAAATGAGAGGTGGTGTCCTTGTGGTAGCCCAGCTAGCACAACCTCACAGGTCTTCTCCTTGGTCCTACCGCAGCACTTTGCAGTTACACCGCATTGAAACGGAGGGAGAGCCACTCAGCACACCTGAATTTCCTTAAAGACCAAGTGAGAGACTGTGGTGAGCTCAGCCTGCATGCACAGCAACATGTAGGTGTAGCATGAATGCTCTGCAACCAGCATGTGAAGGAAAATCCACACTCTGACACATCCATATGGTCCCGCCCAGTGCTGCCAGAGAACACAGCCATGTCACAGAGCTCCACAGGGCTCACATTTTATGACTCCTCAGCACAATAACAAATAAATCAAGTGTGCAGGCAGGAATTTCTTGTGCACTAAGCTTCCATTGTAGACGTTTTGCATTTTAGAAACAGGAAAATAATTGATTAAATGGATTAATATATGGCTGATGGGAAAAATCCAATGGAAGAGAGAAAAAATAAAAATGTTTCTTTTTTAAAACCCTGAACTTAAAGCTAAACAGTGAGGTGCAGGCTAGTAATACCAAACAGAGGGCAAGAACCTCTCACACAAAAAACAGCTATCCCTTAAACATCAAGAGCCAACTTGCATGCAGCTGATTTTCTAGAGCACTACAACAACTGCCCCACTGTGCACACCCCGCCTTTAGAGGACAGAAACCACACTGGGCCTTGGGGTGATTCCCTCACTGAACTGTCCTTAACCCTGTAATCAGCAAGTGAACTACACAAAACCCATCACAATGAAATCTTCACCATTTCCAAGAAGCCATACCAAGGAAAAGGCTGAAATTTATCCATTATCTTTTGCCTAGTCATGTCTCTTGTGATGATAGCAAGGATCTTCTTCCAAGTCTGACAGAGGGACACGCCCAGAATGTCTGAGTCCAGAGAGGGCTCACAGTGGCAGGGAGCTCTGTCAGCAGTGTGGGGCAGCTCGTTTTCAGGCTTTCCCAGTCTCACAGCTGCAGGAGCAGGAGGCTCAAGCACCAGACAGAAGTTACCGTACGCAAGTCAAATCCATCAGAGCAAAGAGAAAGATGGGGTGGACAGAGAGAGAGCAGAGGTAAGAGCATCCTGCCTGCTTCAGTGCTACAGTACTGCACCTGCTGTTATCCACAGTGCTGCTGTTGTCTCTTCTTCAAAGGACTGTTGTTTTGACATCAAGGTTGCAGGTAAGGGCTCAACTTACAGCACACTTTTCACTAGCAAAGCCTGCAAAGCAAAGTAGGTCGGTGACTGCAGCTCTTGGATGTTTCCACCTGCTGCTAGAGCGTAGCCAGGCACTGAGGCAGACATTCTGCACCCGCCACTGCTTTGAGAAGGAAATGAGGGTTGCTTTCCCACTTGACTCTACAGGGGGAATTTCAGATAGGCAGAATGTAATTACTTGGCCTGGACTTCGGCCAGGAGCGGGGCCCAAGACCCCTACCCTTATGCAAAGTGTCACAAAATCTCCAGTGACTGCAAGTGCGAGGACCTCAGCTTTACATCTCTGGCCGCTGTCATTGATTCTTCATGGCTAATTACCTAATAGTGACCCTTGCAGCAAAGCCAAAAAAACAAACCTTGCTGCTTGAAACAATTCAAGTCCCAGAGACCGAAAACTACGCAAAAAAATTGCTTGATGCTGGGTATCTTTTGAGTAGGGAGCAGGTGGGCAGCAAGCCTCCTGTGCCTGGCACTGCTAGTGTGTCACTCAGAAACCTACGGGGGTTTTTGGATGGGCAAGCATAACTTTAAAATGCAGCACCCCCAAAACACAAGCCTACTGTATCAACTGCCTACCAGGGTCTCCAGAGTTTTGTTGTATGTAGTTGCCAGCTGGTTCCATTTATTTTTCTTCATTTTTCATATTTTGACTGTAATAAAAAATTAATCCATGGCTTTGTAACTTGCTGACAAATACAAATGCACAGCATTCCAACACAGTGTAACATGTCACTCACAAGAGCTGACCTGCTCGATGCAGAAAAGTGATGTGCAGAAGGTTTTAGAAAGTAGGCTAATCATCAAGGTCACCCACGAGAGCCCAGGGAAACTTTTTCTTCTAACTTCCCTTAGAGGATATTCCCACTTGCTGTGAGCATCAGAACTGAGCTAATATGTTCAAATCTACGCAGGTCTAGTTGTCTTCCCACCTTAGTTCGGCTCTTTACCCTTTTGTAGCTCCTTACCTCCAAGATCCCACAAACATTTTGCAACGTTAATTACCTAGAACGCTTCCCCTACTTTATAGCTCTGAGAATCCAAACCCCAGGACACAGATTTTTTTCTTCCAGGCAAAGACCAAAAGGAAAGCAAGGAGGAAGTTGTTAGCAGAAGAGACAAAGCACTAACTAGGCAATAATTAATCTGAGTGAGACCTACATGTTTCAGGTGGGGCAGGACAACAGGACAGAAAAACCTCTTGCCTTGAAAAAGAGGTGACTAGATGGCTGGCAGCAGTGATAGCAGCAGCAGCACATGAGCAACAACAAAGAATAGAGGCTCAATGCCAAGGTTCACAGCAAGAGTAGTGAAGCAGTGCAATCCACCATCAAACAACACTGAGGAGAGTGAAGGTGGGAGGAGGAACTGAGATGATCAGAGAAGAGCAGTACGGATGATACTCAGAGTGGTCACACAATGGGATCAGGTGAATGGGACCAAGCATCAGTGGCAATTCAAAGTGGAAGGTCTGATGTGGGAGGTGTCACCTCAGCTTTTTAGACTGAAAAAAAACATCTCCTGAGCCTCCCTTGACCATCTGCAGATGTTTGGTTTTGTAGCATGTGTTACTAGCTATTAGGAATACACATAAGACTGATTTTCTCTTCTGACTGAAGCTGGAACTGCAAAGACGAGAAGTCTTGCAGTATTTTCATTTTATTTTCTCTATGCATATTTGTATCTATTTATTTCTCATTCTATTAACACTTGAGACAAAGATAGGACAAGGGTGTACCAACCAAAAATTCATACTAGTCACAAATATTGTATAGAGGAGCACAACGATCCTAAGAAGGCTGTGAAATGAAGGCCCATTTCCCACAAAATGCTCACCATGGTCATTTTGGAAGTACTTTTAAGTTTCAGTCAATACATAAAAAGCACTTCTCCATGTTACACTCTTCAAACCCCCTGTGTTACCTCCCACACAGACACCCTGAGGAGGCAGTTGTTGCTCTGACCTGCACGGGCTCAGGAGTGAGCTGGACAACATGCTGCATACGCTCGCTGTGGTGATGTCTGGATTCTTCCTCATAGATCACATCCCTCTCGTGTTGGGGGAGGTTCAGGAAGCGGCGAATGGTGCAGAGGTTCTCCCAAAGGGTGCGGTTTTCCGGACTTGGGTTTTCTTTCCAGCGAAGCAGCTCACACAGCCAGCCCTGCAATGGTAGGGTCAGCGCAGTCAATTCACTGAACACCAAGGAACCAGGTGTGAGTGGAAGGTCAGCTACATTCTACCACTCTGTGGTGCAAGTTTTACTGGTCTCATCTCACACACAGAATCCCCCCCCCAGTCCTCAGCTGCCCTTTGGTCTTGACAAATCCTTGACATATTCTATTTCCTGCAGGTTGGAGAAACTGAAACAAGTAGCAGTGCTTAGCAGGAGCCAGGCAGCACAGCATCTTGTGCCCATTGTATTCACACCATGTTTAAAATGCTCGGATATAAATATTTTTCCTATAGAAACCAGAGTTGAAACATTTGGTTTCAGAGCCCCTTTATTCCTTCATTTAAGCAAGAGAAAAGGAGATATATCTCCTGAGACTTGCTAACAGCCCTCAATGCAACCTGCAGCTGCAGAACCAGAAATTCAACCACTACAGAAAATGTTTAGTAGAAGATACTATCAAGTAAAGACTTCTGATTTGCTGTCACTGTTGCATTGCCTACCCCAGCTCTGAACCCCACTGAAATTTGAAAGCTTTAAATAATCAAATCTTAGAGAAGACATAGCCTCACAGAAAGGGAATCCTCTGATATTTAGCACAAAAGCAGCAAACAGAGTCCTGCAGAAGTTACTAGAGAAATGAAGATACTAGGCAGAGGTAATTCTAAACCCAACTACAGATCATCATAATAGCAGATTTTAATCCTGCTCAATTGTTTTAAGGTTAGTTTGAAATGCCCTTAAAACGTTCCTGCTGTGCGTAAGGAGCTGTAGGACCTCTCCACAGGGACTGACTGCTCAGACCCCTGAGGGGAAAGCACCAGTGCTCCAGGAAGAAGAAACCACCCTGAATGCCAAAGGCAAGGAGACAGCCCAATGGCAAGAGCTGTTCAGGTGAGAGCAGCGGTGACCCGGTGTCTCCAGAAGCTTACCCAGGGCTGGTGGCTGCTGCTGCACCTGCCCAGAGTGGGGGCACAGCCAGCCTGTCCTGCCTGCCAGCAGCCAGCCCACTTGGGGCTGGAGACAGTGACTTCCCTCCTGTGCCTGTGCAGGAGATGTGATGCAAACGACAGAAGATGAGAAGATAATGCTGAGGATGCTGTCAACGCGCCTTACTGACTCCTGTCAAAATATTTTACCTAGTAGCTTTATAACCCATCATTTTCGAGCTACAGCTCAGCATATTGACACCATTTTGACAGGCACCTTACAGTACCTACAAGATAGCTTGATCAATGTTAAAAATGTTTGGTACAGGAAGTAGCCAAAACTGTGTTTTTCTGAACAGCGACCGGAGCAAGCTGAACAGCCAGGTTCATTACCAGCCCACGGGGGGGCTTTTTGGTATTGCTTTTTTGTGTAACAACTTGTAAGCCATTGAAAACTTCTACCGTGCACTCTAAACCCCGCGTATAATATCATAAGCCCTTGTTTGTCTTACTCTCCACTGTGTCTTCTGCCTTCACCCCCCCAAAAAAGGCAAGATTTGATTATCTCCGCTGCATCAGCCAAGACAGCAACACCAGCTGTTCTCATTGTGCAGCCTCTTCCTCACGGCCTACATGTTAATAACCTGATCATTCCATTTTCTCCTTCAACTGCCGGCTGCAGCACAGCGAAGAGACAAAAACCCAGGCCCATCTGCAGCAGCTGTAGGCACTGAACTGTGAAGCCACCAGGGATTTATAAACTAATCTGTAACACAACACTGCCTTGTTTTTACAAGTGAGAGGCCACATTTGTGCAGACCTGATCTTTTCTTGCAATAAACTAGGAGGGCTGGGGGGGGGGCAAGGATGAAAACAAGATATCTAGTCATTTACTTAGGGAAAGAAAACCTGTATTATATTTTCAAAGTGTTTTGATTGGTATTTGGGCAATCTTTTGGCCAGGTGAAGTCTGCATTTTAATGTGGTATGACCATAACCCCTACCCTCAGTTCTTCTCTGTCCCCTTCCACTGCTCAAAAATCCATCAAAAACTTTCTCTCTTTTAGAGAAAAGATGGGAACAAAATCTCCCAACTCCACAGTGGTTTCTCAGGGGTTCCTCCATACAAAGGAAATGATTGTTGAAATGGAAAATAAACCATCTGTGGAAAAAAATAAGCTCCCGTTTCTCCCTGTTTTCAGTGAGCTGAATAAGTCTCCAACTGAATTCTTTCAAATGTCTCAAGCAGGTATGTTTAACATCTCCTGGGGGATGCTGCAGCATGAAGACCCATTGTGTAACAGAAAATACACACCAAACCCTGCACCTGGTGGAGCTGGAGCGAATGCCAGGCAGGCCCTGGGGAAGGACAGCTCCTGGGGCTCCCCGAGGGCTGCAAGGCACTGCACAGTGCCTGGCTCTGGCAGAGCCCAGGGACGGCTCAGCAGGGCCACCTCCCCTTCCCGAGGCTGGACCGGGTAGCCCGATGGCAACTGCTGCACTTTGATTTATCTGTCCCGTTATAATCAGCACTCATTACAATCACTTAGAGCAACACTACAGGCCTCATTATGGACTAGGCACTCTCTGCCATTAGTCTTTAAGAAGGATAGCGCTCAATTTGCCTGGCAACATTTGAGGTCCTGACCTTGGAGCTATTAGGGAAAAGATTAGACCGCAGTGTGACCATGTGTGCAGACATGAGCAAACCAAATTAATTTCTGGCAAAGGGAGGCACCAGGCAAAGACCCCGCCATCCTGAGGACACCTGAGAACTTCTCCATTCCCCAAAGGAGATAAGCTAATGGCACGTTTAAAGGAGCCTGGTTCTGAAGGTGAAGCACATCCGTGGTATTTAGAGAGATATTAATCCAGTTTCCCCACAAAGTATTTGCTTGGCTGATCAGATTAAGGGATCTAGCCTTCAACAGCACACCCCCACCACAGCAGGCCCCAAGAAATCTGTGATACTTCACAGCCTCAGACATATTGCACCATGTGTACCCAGCTGCTACAATAATTAGCTTATGAATGTATCAGCTGGTTCTGTGATTTTTATAAATAATAACTAACCTACAGAGCAGAAAGATTTCCATGAGCCTAATATTAGCAAGAAATTGCAAGGTGCACCTAACTGAATTGTCATTGTGCTAAATGCCCTGTCTTCTCTCACGTTGTGTGGGACTGGATCTCCCCCAACACCCATTTATAAATATTTATTTTTGCACCAGCGGCGGCGATGTATTTGTGGCAGCTTTCTTCACAACAGCCATTATTCGCTCACCCCCGCACATACACACGCGTACCCGCTGCGTGCATGCGTACACTTATCTGCATCAAATCTGGCCTTTCACTGCTCTTTTTCTACCCTTCCCTTTCTTTATTCGGGCACTCATTCAAGACCCTATCTATCCATCTATGGGGCTGTTTATTAGGCAATAGCTTTGACTAATAAGTGAGAAAACACAGCGCCGCAGCTTACTCGCACGTTCCTTATGATTGCAAGTAACCGCCTTCCCCATGCACAGATGAAAAGTCTGCATGGGCTTTTTTTAATTATTTATTTAAATAATCTTAGCACGCCATCCAAGAAAGTTTTGCAGTACCAGGCAAAAAAAAAAAAAAAAAAAGTGTAAATGTCAAATAAAACAGTGACAGATGACAGTATTCTCTATTGAATAGCACCGTTTCTTCGTGCATGTTCAATGAGAACTCATGAATTATTAATACACAAAATCTCCTTTTACTGTTAAAAATCTCAACTTGGGGTTTTTTGGTTACAATTTTTTTATTTTCTTTTATTTATTTCTTTGGGGTCTGTGTATGTTACACAGAGCTTTCCAGGAGAATTATTTCATTTAAGAAATGCTAACATACAGAAGTTCTTGGCGCTACAGCCATTCACAGTGAATTTTCATCTATAGCTACATTTATTGGCATGAAGAATGAAAAGTGAAGGAGACACTATCTCACCACCTTTTCCCCCACTCATCCACAGTATCTGACTCACTGCATTACAAGTAAATACAACTTCTGTGAACGTATTCTGAAAATCTAAGAAATAACACACCCTTCCTCAGACCCATAATATGCCGTGGTTTTGATCCTGCCTCCCCTGCACATCACAGGTCTTGCTCCACCGCACAAACAGCCCCCTTGGCTGTCACAGCATTACCAGGAGAGTTTGATACACACTGGTGTCAATATGGGTGGCAGAATCCAGCCCTTAATGTCAGCTTCTAAGGTTCTCAAATGGGAATGTCTTCCATTAAAAATAAGAGGAGAAAAACCAGCACAATTAAAGGATGCTTTTGGCTCTACATTCAGGCACACCCAGTGCTTGTGGTTACAAGGAATTCTGCTCAGAAATTCCTTCATTTCACCCCAAAACTTCTAGAGGCATCGAGAATGCAGCCCAATTTAGCTCATTAAAGAGAGCTGCAGAGAAGTGCTGGCCTCTATTTTTGTTGTTCTCATGAGACAAGATAAACATTTTCTAAGCATTTTATTTGATAAAACAAATAATATCATATTAATGTCCTATTTTTAACCTCTCTCTCTGTCTTCTAATCAAATACATTTCCACATAGCTAAGCAAACAACAACAAAAATCTGCAGGAAGCCAGTCATTCACATTGTGCTTTTATGCTGTTAAAGAAACAGCATGCTTACTACACCAAAGCATGAGCCTTGGCGCACTCAAACCCCCCCGAGGACAGCTAGCTGGTGCAGCAACCCTGAACCATATTCTCTGCCACTTATTCCTGAGCCCTTTCTAGCAGCTTGACTCTTTCACTTCAGCTAGGCTTACTCTGGAGCAGGGGAGGCTGCTCCGGCAGCCGGAGGTACCAGGCTTCTATAAGGTCAGTTTTTCCAGCACTCAGTGAAGGTATGCACAAATATACCGGCCCCAAAAACTGCCTCCTGCAGATCTGCTGACCTGCAGTCTGCCAAGGACCACATTTCTGATTAAGGACAAGAAGGCACATGGGAAGGGTTGAGGCTCACAGCTGTGCTGGGGTGCAGGCCAGTGCTTGAGCTTTGAGCAGCATCTCTGCCAAA